TGCTGTTGGCAAGAATCAACCAAACTCTTTTTTGTTTTTTGGGTTTTTTTTTTCTTCAAGAAAGAGGAGCAGGAGTCAGGGGAAATCACCAAGTGAAGCACAGGGAGCATCCCCAAGTGTTGGTTTGGCTTTGCAAACAGAGACTTGAAGCCACCTGTGCTTTTCTGAGACAATCCAGTCTGTACCCGAAGCTTTCCCAGTTTAGCTCTTAGATGCTGAATCCTCCAAGTCAGCTCCTGCTGGGATGAAGTTCAGGAGCTCTTCCCATATCCATATCTATCAATGGGATGCTCATGGTGTGGTGCTGGATTTGTACTAAATTTGAAGAAGCTGCTTCAAATTCCTCTCATGTTGAGCACATTTCTACAGGAGCTGCTGTTAAGTCCCATGGTGAAAGAGAAAGTGAGACATTAATCCATGAGCAGAAGAAAGCAAGAATCAATCGATCTCAAGGCCAAGTGTAGAGAACTGCCCTGGATTGCTTCCAAAAAGGGAATTTGGATTGATCAAAGTAGCTTCACCTGATAGATTTGTCCCAGGATCCGGGAAGCTGGGACAGAAAAAGAGGCACTACATCTTCCACTGCCTGAGTAGTGCTTCACATGCAGCAAGGCAACCCTAAAAGGAGGAGTGTGCTCTGGTACAGCTTCTGCAAAAACAGGGTCTAATGGCCAGGAGGAGTCAGGCAAAATTGATTACATAATTACTTTTAACTAGCCAAAAATTTAAAATCAGCCATTTCAGCTATTTCTTGCAGAATTCCCACTTAAAAAAAAAAAAAAAGATCCTTAGAGGGTTGGGCTCACATGACTTCCCAGGCAGTTTGCAGTTCCTGATGCCAGGTTTTGGCTTCTGGAAGCCTCAGGCAGTGCAGCAAAAGTGCACTGTGACAGGTACTGAAATTGAAAGCTAAACAAGGTTTTTAATTTTCTGGCCTGCAAACCACTGCATGAGGAGGAGTCCTAAGTGAGGAATAAACATCAGGCTAGCAGCGAGTCAGGAGCTGGGGCATCACTGGGTATCTCATTTATTTGGATTTTCTTTTGGGATGTCTGGAAGGGCTAAAGAAGCTTTGGAGAAGTTGTATTTTGCTTTCCTGTCTCCCCAGTAATTATTGCCACCAGTAATTATTGGCCTTTCTTTGAAAGGAAAGCACAGACAGTGACCATGGGTAGGCCAGCAGGAATACAGACACATTCCCAAAACAGCTTTTTGTTGGATCTTGGTTGGGGACCAGCACTGGCTGAAGCTTTAGAAGGGAGAAAGCTGTTCCCTGCCAGATCCAGAGCTGGGAGCAGCTCTTTGTTCCGTGGGTGGCTTCAACCTCCCAAGCACCACTTAACCAAAGCCAGGGGCAGCCAGGTCACCCTGAATAAAACAGGGGAAGTGCCTCTGTGGGCAAGGTCAGCCAAAGGAGAAACGCAGGACAGTCAGTTCTGCAGCCAGGTGTCCTTTCCCAGGTGCTGGCTGTCCTTTCCTTGCTCATTCCGCTCAGCAGTGTGTGCTCATTTAACCAGGTGCTCGTTTACACTTGTCCTGCTCCTGCCACATGATGGTATTGGTGCAACATCCCTGCTCCTCTGTGCCAGGCAACCCTGGACACTGGCATATCCCAGCCTGGGAGGTAGCTTGAGTTCAAGATCAATTATTATTGAAATTAAGTAGAATTATTTGATTATTTAAAAGCCACAGAGATGTGACACTTGGAGACGTGGTTTGGTAGAGGGCTTGGCAGCGCTTGGGGGAATGGATGATCTTAGAAGACTTTTCCAACCTAAACAATTTTCTGATTATTCCCAGGCACACAGAGTGCTACTACAGTTCCTGGAAAAATACAAGCAACCATCTTACCCTGAATTCGTCTGTATGACAGCTACAAAATAAATTAAAATTCCTCATTAACCAAGCCTCTTATGGCCTTGCCTCCCTTGTGTTTGCACAACAGAGCATAAAACTTTTATGTGGTCAGCAAAGCACTGATAAAAATAAAGACCATCAAAATCTCAGACTCAAACATAGCCTGGGGGCATTGCAAGTTGACAACAAGATTTCTCTACTGAATATTGGGTGTTATTTCCAGTGCAGTCTGGAAACAGATCCTCCAGTGAGTTTGCTTTTAAAATTTCATTGCTGCTAATTTGCACTGCAATCACCTTTTCCATCTGTAAAGCCCAGATACCGGGCTTGGCCTTCAGCTTTTAACAGCCGATAACTGCAAACAAATCCAAATATTCTTGTGTTTAAATTGGATATCAGGAGGGAAAATATGGAATTTCATCTATCCAGGAAGAACAAGAGATCAGTCAGGAAAAAGAAGGTGTCCTGAGCATAAAAAAAAAAAAAAAAAAAAAAAAGAAAAAAAAAAGGCAGTGCTATAGCAAAAATACCCAACAGTTCTTAGACTTAAACACCAGACAAGTTAAGGCTTACTTCTGTGGGAGGTTTTATTTGAGCCTCCATTTACAGTGCTGGAATAAAACTGAGCCTTGTAATAAACCCAAGAACCTCAAATAATGAGATAAAACTTGTGTTTTCAATGGTGCAAGTGAGCAATACAATGAAATATTTGGCACAGTCCACTGGCATCCTGACAGGTGTCTCTGTTGCCCTTTTGACAGTGAATCATCTATAACCACACATTTGTTTCTGAGGGTTTTTTTTAATAAATATTGGTTTTGCCTTTCAAATCTCTGAAATTCCTCACAGAGTTTCTTACTGTGGTTAATTCAACAGTTTTGTCTAATCTGATGGAGTATCCATACTTTAGAACATTACCTTTATCTGTTATTTAATAGTTTAAAAAATACTAAAAAGGAAATGCATGTGTTTTGCTAAAGATTTTATGTGTTAGAGAAACTGCTATAAATTTTCTGCTGTCCTTGCAGACAAGTTGAATAAATTCCCAATGATCTTTAGCTGTTTTCTTTCTTAAAAAAACAAACAAAAAACCCTCAACAAAAACAACAACAAAAAAACCCACCAGAAACAAACAAACAAAGAAAAAAACCCACAAAACCCCCCAAAAAACCCAAACCACCAAAACAAGCAGATGCTGAAGGTAAGGACTAAATGGCACTTGTTAGCAGGAACACTGGAGCTTGTGCAACCCTGAATTTAATCCCTAAAGAGTTGCAGATCACTATTTTATTTTATTTGTTTTAATGCACCTATTTTGTACTGCCAAAAGGATGCAGAGCTGTGCAGAGGTGGAAATCTTCTCTTTCCTGAACAAATTTTTTCCCGTTTTCCCTGGAGTCCATTAATACTGCAGCTGGGCTTTAGGTTTGGCATCTTTAAGTGCAGTATCCCAAGATTTCTTTCTCTGCTCCAGAGCTTCATCTGGTGCTTCAGTATTAATCTAATTAATAGTTTTTAATACAAACATGAAACTCTGGAATGGTCTGGGTTGGGAGGGACCTTAAAACCCATCTAATTCCCCTTGCCTGCCATTGCAGGGACACCTTGCACCAGCCCAGGCAGCTCCAGGAAAGGGGGCTGGGATCCCTCTATCCCATTTTTCTCAGCGCACAGCTCTGGCAGAAGAGTTCACAAGAAGGTGTCCCAGGATAAATTGTGTGCCATGAGGAATAAATCCCAGGCTGTTTCCTGCAGGACACCCCAGCACAGCCCAATTCACCCAATTTGGGCTCCCTCCTGGTTTCCAGCCTGAATCTATCCAGCACCAACATTCCCTTCAGTCACCCCCTCCCCTGGCAGTGAGGGGAAAAATCAGACACACCCTTCCAGCCTCCCATTTTCTGGTTAAACAGAGCCAGTCTTTCCCAGCCCTGCTCCAAGCCCTGCTCCCAGTACAGCAGCTGATTCCCACCCTTACCCTGCTGGCCCCACTGCTGCCAAGCTCTGTGCTGTGAACACCCTCCAGCCACTGACATCGATAAGGATTTATTCCTTGCTCAAATTGCCTTGCCTTTTTGTGGCTGGGTATTGTGCACGTCTTTGCCAAGCCAAATTTATCTTCTTCCCTATCCCCTCTGACAGAGTGGTCCTGTGGAATTCCTGGCGAGATTCTCCGCTCAGTGCGTGTACAAGAAAATTCTCCTCTTCCCGTGGGTCTGGGCTTTCCAGCTGATTTTCCCTGGGATAAACCAGCCTGGTCAGCAGCACAGACAGGCAGCACACAGAGAATGAGCTCTGCTGTGGGTGGCTCTGTCCCGAAGGGCCGCAGAACAGCACCAAGGTCAGCAGCTGGAGCAGGAATGTGCCCGAAGGACAGAACCAAAGGTGTGTCCATGGTCTGCTCTGAATGCACAGAGGGGAGGAGTTGGCCTCTGGAAGAAAATTCTTTTCCTAAAAATTGAAGAGTAGGGAGTCACCTGCCCTTGCTTTGTGCCTTCTCTACAATGCAGAAAATGAGCATTTTTGGAGATTTCAAATGACCTCAGGTGAAGTGTACACCTGTCTGTTACTCAGGCACTGAAAGTATTAAAGGTGAGCCAGCTGAACCTACAGAATGCTGCACACACTAAAGCTGACACCCACTGCTTTGGAAAGAAAGAAAATTGCTGAGACAGACCAAATGGAGAGCAGGGGATGCAGCACAACTTGAAAAGTATTCTAAACATAATGGTATTTCTTTGCACTATTTGACTATGCCCAGATAAAAATGAAGTGACTGTTGTTCACTTGTCAGCACCGTGACAAGTAAATGCTAAGTGATAAATACATCAATAACAAAAATAAAATGAGAAAATGATAACTAAGTTCTGTCTCAGCTCCTTTTCTGTCTGATCTCTTGGAGCTCTCACCTCGCCCTTGCCGCTGCAGGTCTGACCCCAAAGGAGACCCCAAGCTGTACCACGGCATCACAACAAAAGGACAAAAGAACAACAGAGCCCCTGTAGTTCCTCACTTGGGATTTTCTTGGGATGGGTTGGGTGGGGAGAGCCAGGCTTAGCATTCCCTGAACCCATCAGGGAATGCCCAGAGACACTCAGGTAATGGGAGAACACCAGTGGAAAAGAACCCATTAAAACATGAGGTAGATTTTGAGGTTTCTGTATATTGTATTCTCTTCAGATTTCCAAAGCAAACAGGTACACGGCGACATTGATTCCAGTACAGGTTTAAGCACATGCAACACTGGTGTCCTATCTGTACATTGTTTTCTAAGGCTGCCCAAGGACCTTTACATTGAAAGCATACAAGAACTCACACACACGTGCACGGATTCCTCCTGGCATCAGTCCTGAGGAAAAAACAACTGGAATTTTACTGGAGAAACCAAACTTCAGCACTGCAAGCGCATCAGGGAAATTCCCCCCAGCTGTTCTGAACTGCTTCCTAACCTCAAAACTCACTTTTTTCACAATTTGGAGCTGAACAGGCTGTTGTTCATCAGGTTGTAGTGTCAGAAATGGTTCAAAACAGTCCAAGGTTTACAGTACTGGAGACAAAATCTATATTCCCATAAAAAACCATGCTGGATGCAGATGAAGTATCACATGGAGATGCTGACACTCAAAACAGAAAACTGAGAAAACATAAGCACAGAGAGACCAGAAAACACATCAAAGATTTCTCATTCATGTATAATTTTTGTAATTATACAGTCAGCCTTTCTGTGACTTAAATACTGAGGCCAACCTAAACAATAACAATACAAAATTTTCTAAAACAGCTTCTTGTAGAAAGAATGACAGTAGTTGAAAGGAAATAAATAAATAAATATTTTAAAAGGTCTGATATTGCTCTGAGACAGTGTCCATCAGGTTCCACTAGATGTCAGTGGCACAGAATCAGTTTGTGGCAGACTTAATGGCATCAAGTCCACTTGGTTTATTTATTTATCATCATTACCTCGTCTGTGAAACACAGCCCACATCGACTGTACCAACCGCCCAGGATTTATGGCAGTGAACTGAACCCAAAATAACAGTCTCATCTCATTTCTTTTCCCCCCCTCTTGCTTGCTTGATTTGAATAGAAGACTTGAAATCAGGCTCACAATGCCAAAAATGTGGCGAGATAAGGTCTGAACCACTGCGGCTCCTCGGTGTTTCCTAAAGCAGTGACACGGAGCTCACTCCAACCCAGCACTCTCTGTTTGTCAGGTACTGAACACCTTGAAGATAAAGCTTTTTATGTGAAATACAGTGTAGCTGATCCAGGTGGAAAATTATAAGGCACGTATAATTTTTTGTTGTTTTGTTTTGTTTTGTTTTTTTTTAAAAACACACATTCTGAAGCATTGTTACAATCGTGCTACTCTGGGTGGCCCAGCCAAGGACAGAGGGGATGAAAGTCCATGAAATGCAGGAAAATACAGGAAAAAAAATACAGAAAAAAATACAGAAACCAAAGAATAAAGCAGAACACATTGATACAATGTACACAACGACAGCAATGATCAACTCTTCTCATTTCTTTGGCCAACAAGCAGTGACAATTGCAAAGCATTCTTTGTTTTGCACTGGAAATACCTGACTTTATTTGGATACACAGATGTTTGCCACAATACCTAAAATAAGTAAAAAAATACCCAAACAGACTGGTTCTAAGTTTTTAACAAAACAAAGCTGCCAAGTAATTGTTGTTGGGAAATCATGAGAGAAATAATAACAGGGGGCTACAAAAATGATGATCTAGAACAACAGCTGAGAAGAGAATCATAGTTAAGGAACATATGCAACCAAACAGTTCTAGGCATTTATTCCAATATCTTAGAAAATAAAAATAAAAAATACTCTTCATTGCATCACCATTTAAAGAGCAAAACCCAAATCTTTAACTTAAGCCAAAAGAAGATGTGAATTGTTTCCTTGGTTTTTTGTTCGTTGTCTTTTTTTTCTCCATCTGCAGCCTTGTTTATTCACAGTACAAACAGATTTTAAAGTCACAAGATGCACAAAGTCGGACAAGGAGCGCTGTTGCCTCCTCCCCTCTGCAAAGCTGCTCTGCCCCAGAGAAACCTCAGCCCCCCAGTGAAACAAAAACCCCCAAGCCCCCACTTTTCAGTGCCTCATGAAATCGCAGAGCAGCAGCAGCAGCAGCAGCAGCAGCGCATGTGTTCCCCCCACCCCGCACAAAGAACATTCCACGCATTTCAGAATTCCACCTTAAGGCAAAAAAAATCAGGTAATGCAGTTTTCTACCTCTCCCCTTCAAAATCTCCTGGTTTTCCAGATTTCAAGCGTGACCCCTGAAATTCAGTAAATGAACGGAACATTTGGCATAAGGAATGCTTTAACCAGAAAAAAAGAAGGAATAAACAGGAAATGCTTTTCCCAACAATAAATCAATCATTTTCCCATAGTTCTATCTACAATTTGTTAAAGCATTTTATGCGTTTTCAATAACAAATTGCAACTTTTTTTGGCAACTTATTTTTTTCTTTTTTAATAAAAATCCAGACAGTGTTCTCTGCTTGCAATCAGAACCACACCCTTAGTGCAATATTATATTTATTTCTTACAGTAATTTTGGTTGCCATACAAGAGTATTAAGGATTGGGGAAAAGTGCAAGTTACAGGAGCTTGATTTTTTTTTTTTTTTAATCCGTTGAAATAAGAGGAATTAAAGCACAAAAATTACAGCAACATAGATAACGTGAACACAAGTTGTTACACAAACTATAGCGAGAAACATATTAGTATCTAGAAAAGAAAAGAAAAAATGTAATGGAAAAATTATCAATATTTGTGGCTCATACACATAATCATCGCCAGATCAACTGGGTAATGCTTTTTAAGAACTGAGAGGTAAAGAAAAGAAAAAAAAAAAATCACTATTTTTTTATTAACTTAAGTTCCACAAATAATTAACTTCTTTGTGATATGTAAATTCTGTAAATCAACAGTCACATCTAGTCATTTTATAATATATGAATTAAACTTAAAATGTTCTCAGACACCTAGGGCAAGGAGTCTGTGCAGTTATACACAATTTACATCTTGTAAGATTTTGGTATTGTATACACAAATATTACAGAAACTAGGCATGTAAATGCAATTTATTTAAATTACAGTATATAAACAAAAGTTGATCCTAAAACCCAGAATATCATAGATCTCTAACAACTTTGTTTTTCACTATCAGAGTAGCATGAAAGAAATGGGTCTTCTCTCCTCCCCCCTGGTGAAAATACTCAGAGGCCACGGCGTTATCTGTTACTATTGCTTTCTTTTTTTTTGTTTCAAACCACCCCTCAGAGCTGGAGACTGAACTCGACTTGGCAGAGGTGCATTTTGGTGGTCCAAGTAGGTCCCCTCAGGTCTCCTTACCTTTTTTGCTTCATAGGACACAACGTGAAACATAAAACTATTCCCTTACAGCTCTTTCATCTGCTCTTCCCGCTCGTTTTGTACCTGCTCTTGGAGTACCTGAAGAGATGCACGAGCAGGAGCCACACCTGTGTGAGGAAGGGACAATCTCACCTGGGAGTTACTGGGTGTGTCAGAGCTTGCTCAGGGCAAGTTCAACCAACAGGAAGGTTGTGATCCAAAAAAACAGCTCGAAAAGTTAACTTCTATATTTTTCTTTTACTACTGTATTTATTTCCTAACATATTTCTGGCACGTTATAGAGGTAATAGCAACTGTACCCAAAGAAACAACAACAACAACAAAGAAAAAAAAAAAGAAAAAAAGAAAAAAAAAAGAGCATGGCATCAGTGGTTTATTTACTGAATTCTGTCGTATCACCAAATGGAAGACAAATGATGGCTAAATTACCTTTTTTTTTTTTCTTTTTTGTTTTTTTACTTCTTAAAGTGTTTGATGGCCTCAAGTTGCCTGCATCGACCTATCTGAGTGGAACTGCCATTTTCTACACCTCCCATGGAAAAACTCAGCACTCCTCGACAGCAAAACGCTTGGGTGCTTCGTTTTTATTACAAGGTTCCTTGGAACTCCCCAGATACAAACAGAGCGCAGTAACAGATGTTAAGTCAAAAGATTTGCTGTTCCATAAAGGGGGCAGGAGGCTTAAGTAAGTTGATTTTTATGAGATTCCAATGCATTGGTAACTGTAACCACTTTTGAAGAAATATTCATCCTCCTCTGTAGAAGTTCTAGCAAAGATAGAAAATATAACACAGCTCTGCTGGTTCAGATGCATCCAAATGAGGTTGATTTTAAAAAGGTCAAGACTTTATAATTATTCCACAGAAATAGTAGTAAACCACAAAAAGTGTTTTTTTCTTTTTTTTTTTCTGTTTTTTTGTTTGTTTTTTTTCTGTTTTTAACTTCCTAGCACTGAAGTGGCACAAAGGCTGCCCAGTAGACCAGCCACTTATTTTCTTAAAATATTGTGCTTATAAACTATCTGTACAACTATTTAAACTTGCAGTAAAGAAAGATATTTAAAATGCTAAACTTTATGTACTCATACTAGGGCTGTTGCAGACCTAATTAGACACTTGTTTGTGAGCAAAAAATAATCACAATAATAAAAAATTAGAGATAGGCTGGACCATATCAAGGACCATATCAAGGAAAGAAAGTTCAGGTACCTTGCAAAATGTAAGGGAACCTGAAAGTTTGGTAGGGAGGCAGTTTAGCCATCCACACCCAATTTACCCACCCTTGAACATCTTGAATATTCTGTCCAGAAAGTCCTGCAAAACTCACAGATATTCAGAGGTGTTAATTACAAGGGGGAGTTCAAACATGCAGAGAGAGACTTGTTAACTTGAAAGTTGAAAAAAAAATTTTTTTTTTTTTAAACCAAGCCGTGTGAACCAGCCCCTGGATTCTGGCAGGGTGCTCCCACCTCTCGTGCCAAGGAGTGGGCTGGGGGCCAGTGCCCAGCCCTCTGTCCTTTTCCAGAGCCAGTTCCTGCCAGCAGTGATAAAATGAGAGCCTGGATCCCTCCCCAGCCCTCCTGGCTTTCAGAATGTGCACACCCTGAGACACTCAACAGCTCTTTCCATCTTGGCATCACCCCTCTGCCTCCTCTCAATGAGCTGAAGCATTTCCATTCCTAACAGGCTGAAATCCCTCTCTCACTTCAGATCCTGGCACACTTCCCACTGACTTCAATGGGAACATTCATCTCTCCTCTCCTTCGTTCTCAGCCTGCTGTTCAAAATACCCAGGCACTTACCACTCACTGAATCAAACAGCACCTCTCAGGGCTCAGCCTCTCTCAGTGTCTCACTGTCAAATCCCAATGCCATGCCTGCACACCAAAGTTTGTCCTGGCTTGTGGAGTTCATATTCTGACTCAGCAGCAGTTGAGCTGGTTGAGAACTGGGGAGGTCCCAGGTTCAAACAAGCTTCACTTTGCTGTACCTCTAAGTGTGGTCCCTCCTCAGCCTTTACTCAACGTCTGCACCGTCCTAAAGGCCACCTCAATGGAGTGTGCACTGAACTTGTTCTGCCACCTTGGAAGAGTGCTAAACCACTGCAGAAATAAAGAAATACCAGGTAAAACAGAGCAAGGTTACCTTTGGACTGACTCCAGCAGAACAACCAGCTTCACTGCCAACAGATCAGGGAGCTATACCAGTAAAACAAGAGGAATATTAACTCCTGTGCCCACCTCAATATCCCTTCTACTGATAAAACTGGGTTTGAGTGGTAATGGAGCGACCTGTCCTCTTAAAATGAACCAAGAGCTGGGGAAAGAAGCCTGCATGGAGACTGAATGTCAAGACAAGAATAAAATAAAATGCAATTTTTTTTTTTTCTTTCAGTAAAAGAAGCCCTGAAATGTTTGCAATTTTAAAAGAAATTCGTCACATGACAGTCCTGGCAAAGGGCAATATCAAGAGTTTTAAAGTTAACAATTGTCTCTCTCTCACATCTCCCCACAGCTTTGAAATAAAATGGCCCCACTTCTTTAGCATCTTTAGGTTGTGTTTGGGCATGTAGCAGATGGTCTGCATCACCTGAGTACCAGGAATTCATCTGTTTTCCCCCTCCCCCCCTCAATTTTGCTGGCACTCGCAGACAGACAAGGCATTTGGGGTATGTCAGTACCAGCCCATCTCTAGTTATCAACAGAAGTTTGTGAGGCAAAATAGCTATTCTTATCTGTCCAGCAGCTGCTTCAAAGCTCTTTCTATGTTCATTCTGTGCCCAACTCTAGTCACTCCAAGGTCTATCAGATCTTCCTTCTGTAGATTTGGTAAATGTGTGCCATCTATTTCATTGTCCATAAATGTTTCTTTATGTTCACCTAAGTTTAGACTTTCCAACCAATCTGCCACATCTGGTTTAGTCCACAGGTGGACAGGCTTAGTTGTAAAAGGCTTATTTGAGATTGGCTGTTGTAATATTGAGGGAGAAGGAGACCTGCTGCGCCCTGTGGTCAAGCCAAATAAGTCCCCAGAAGGGGGCTGGCTGGGTAGACTAAATACATCAGACAGAGTTGGAGAAGGAGATGAGGCTGAAGCAGAAGCAGTCAGAGGAGCAGGAAGGATGTCTTTATTAATCTCTGTTGGTGAAACCACAGGGCTGGGAGCGTGCCTTGCTCCTGAGGTCCTGCTGTCATAGTCTGGGGATCTGCTCTGCAGTGTGATCGGCTGGCTGGCTCCGGGTCGGACAGTGAAAGTGATTGTTGTACTTCGTGTACCTGAGACAGTACTCATGACTTCCGTGCTCCTGCAATTGCAAACAGACAGGCACAGTTAGAGCTGCTGGCCACCAGGATGGCCCCATCAGCACAAGGTAATTACAGCATGGGAATGCTAGGGTAGTTTCACATTTTAACTAAAAGTACAAAAATTGTATCATTAACTCTTTCCCAGAAAACCAGTAGCAATGGTAAGCCATAGTTAAAGACAAACTTTGCTTATGAGCTGTCCAGGAAAAAACACCTTCCAGAGCACATTCTCTCCCTTTTTAATATTTGTTCCCAAATTAACTCCTGGTTAAATGAGAAACGCTGAGTGAAACAAGCACACCAGCACTTTGTGCTTCCCACAAAGCATGACCAGGAGTCGATCTTCCTTCTGCCACAGGGAGGTTTGAAATCCTTTAGTTCTGGCTTTACACATAACATAGCTAGTAAGAGTAGTTGTGGAAAGTTTCAGGAGCACTGGATTTTCTATCTTTGGGCTTCACTCAGTGAATTTTGTAGAATGTTAGCAGTACTGTTTGTTTAAAGAACAAGCTGCTGTTATTTCCCTTTCTATCCATGCTTTAAACAAAAAAAAGCCCTTCTAAGGTGTTTAAAGCATCTCAGCGTCTATTTCCTTCCACAGAGAAATTATACTCTGGCAGTTTCACTACGAAATTAAGGAGATAAAATTCTTGTTCCTGTGCATGACTGGAGGTGATGTAGTCAGGATCAAGTTCTGCCTAAAGAAAATGAGTTTCAGATTACGAATGAATCCAGGCATGAATCTCGCTGAGAGGCTCGTTCTGATGCTCAGCCTGACAGGGTGGGTGAAGGAACATGACCCTCTGGTTCTGCCTGATGGCTACAGAAACAAATTTAGAAGGTTTGGGCCTGCTCATGTCATCAAAGGCTTGACCCCACAGCCCTTGTTCCCATGGGAAGAGCCTGCCGGTCAGCATGCGCACTTCAGGACGCTCCACAGAGCCCCTGGATGCCTGGAGCTCCAGCGTTCTTCACTTCGGAAATAACCTGCCAATGGTGAAAATCTTCAGACAACTAATTTACAGCACTTGCAGACCAAAGGAAGGGTTTATTTATCCTGGAAGCAATGCCGTGGAGTCCAGATGATGATGTGGCTGATGTGCTGAGATTTCCAGCGTAGACCCTGACAGAAGCCCTCTGTTTCAGAGTGCCACGCTGTCCCCAGGCCTGCCCTGTCCTGCCTGGCAGAACTGAGGATGGCTTTGGGTGCATGATGTCAGATGGAAATGCTTCCGTTAATCCAGCAGATTCACTGCTGTGCAGAAAAGATCTCAAGGAGCTGAAGGAAAATCAGCGTAATGGCAACATGGGGTAGTGCTAACAAACAGGTTATACATCCATTCCTCCTCCACCGCAGCCCTGAGCTGGAGACAGCAATTCCCTGGCTGGCTGCTGGCTCTGGAGAGCCCTGAGAGTGTTCTCTGAATCACCCCTGGGGCTTTGGCACTTCACCACCAACACAGAGCACAGGGAAGTGCAGCTCTGCCACACCGACTTTCCTGCTCCCATCTCAGCAGGTCCCATTCAAAGCTCCCTGTCACGAGAAGAGCACCGAGAGTAACTTTTGGGAGAACACACATCTAATTCACACCAACATTCCCACTGATTTCCCACAGGCTGCTCCATGTATTTCAATGGGAACAGGGGGATCTCTTTGGAAGATTGGTACTTCACTTAAAACCCAGTAGGAACAATGCTTCCAGCACTTACGGCTTTATAATTTAACAAAGAAAGGAAACACCTGGCAAGGTTCTGAGTGGTTCCTGTGATGTTTTTGGCACCTAATGGCTCTCATTGTCTTCCAGGGCTGGAACTAAGCATTCTTACAAATAAAAGTCTGTGGCAAGAGACTATTAAATTCTGCAAACCAAGGGGAGCAAGTTATTTCCACCTCCTTTACCTCAGCATTTGGAGTCTCGCACTCATTACTAAGGCGTGATATAATTTAAAATCAGCAAAAAAGCCTGCTTTGAAAAAGGTTGGGGTAGTGCTATCCTAGTCATGGCAAGAATGAGCTTTGTATAAATAGGGAAATGAATCCCTGATCTTTACCTGCAATCACCCTTCTACTTAACTTTCCTGTCTTGCAAATACTAGAAATTAGGGTTTTGTATTTACACCCATTGTGGCAAGATCAAATGGATGATGAAAATCCATCTTCTTTTATTCCAGATGATGAAAGATAATTTCTACTGCTTGACTGACAGCTCCAGGCTCAGTGCTTTGCAACTCACTTTGCTGCTTCTCCTCCAGACTGCTCCTCTTAAAGACTCCCTGCCCAGCCTTCAGGAAATTACTGTCACTCTTCCTTTAAAAAAAGGATATTAAGACAGTGAAACAAACCCCCTGAAAGTAAAGGCTGTGCTCTCATTTGAAGTATTCCTTGGCTGGTGTTCCTAAACTTTCTGAGCCCCATGGGCAGGAATACCCAGGGTGAGCAAAGGCATCCTGGTCCTTTGCTTCCTGTCAGCCTGGATCAAAGCACTGGCTTCACATGGCTGCAAGCAGCAGGAGGTCTGAGAGCATCTTGCTTTTTCCAAGCCAGAGGTTCAGGGCTGCTGATTATTATAACAAAACTGTGGGATAGTGACAAGATTATTATGTTTATTTTTTTTTTTAAATTTTAGCTGAATGCAGAGGTTTCAACACCAGCTCAGTTCGTAGCCATGTGAGTGCTCTGCTCTTGTGGCATGGGCACAGCCCTGGTGAAGCTCAGGGAAGTCTGCTGAAGCACTTCCAGGCTTTCAGTTCCATGCCTTTCAACCCAAGATTATTTTCCCATGCTCTTTCCCTCCTTTTCCACCTGCCATATCAACTCTATTTTTTCATGCTGCACTGTAATTGTAAACCAAGGGCAATAAACAAGGATATCTATGTAACTCCTATGCAGCCTAAATTTTAATTTACGACATTTCCCATATGATCTGGGGTGCAGAGACAGCCTTGAAACTGTCTTCTGTCTTGCATTTTATGGTTGATTGGTATCCTGGTCAATTAGGAGCAAGCACATTCCAGCTGGAGAGCAGGCACAGTTTGTTGTGTTATGGGGTTTCAAGATTTTTAATCAAAACAATTTCTTATGCCTTATTTGATCATTTGTTATCCTAAACATGTTAAACCCATATTAAACCTGCCAAACCCCAAATTTCATTTCAAAAAAGGTGAAAAGTCTGATAATTATTTTAAATAAAATTTGCTCCATTAGAATCAGCATATGGTGGTAATTTATAAACATTTGCTGCTGCGAGCCTGCACTGATTGCAATGCCCATTATGTTGCCTCATATCAAAATCAAAATATATAACCTATATGTCACAACCGTGTGGCCTTCAAGTATAAAAGCCATGAGCACAGCTTTTAGGAAAGAAATTATTTTAAATTTTAAATTATATTTGCAAGATTCAAATTTACTGTTAACTTAATATCAGAAGCAAATCAGTGCTTCAGCAGCTCCCATGGAAAAATAAAAAACCCACATAAAAAACTCCTGGGAGCTGTTTTACCCTAGAACTTTCCAGAAGATTTGCTGGTTCTGACACAGTTTTTCCATTTTATCAAAGTAAAACATCTTAAAAACCAAGAGGAGCAGCAAGTGGAATCCCCGTATAGGGGTACTTCAAGAAATAAAATTCTTACAGATCTTGGAGACTGCACAAACGAGGCCTCACAAACCTTAAACTTTGCCTTCACCTCTCAATATTTTTACTTTGTTGTCAGAGGCAAATTGTACAGCAGGAAAGTAAGCTAAGAACTGTCTGTTTTGGGGGCAGGTGAAGAACAAGGGCTGACGTGACAACTGGCGGGATCCAGTCGTCCTCACCAGACTGAGCTCCTCACCATGGTGTTATTCTGGGAAGAATTGAGAGATGCTCAGTGTCTGCTGCCAGTGAGGAACAATCGTGAAGGTCTGTGGGAGTCTGTCTGTGCAGGAGCAGGAGTTTCCAATATGAAATGTCTGGAAATCAGAGGGAAGGGGATGGTGCTGGGCCAGGAGGCAGCCTCAGCCCTCTCTGCTTGGATAACTGCAGGGAAAAGGGAAGCTGAGAACGGAGGGGAATCCCACAGCTTCCAGGGACAAGAGATGACCACACAGGCTGGTTTGTTTTTGTTTTTAGCTTCACACATGTGTGTAAAACTGTATTAATCATCCCTCCCCATCCCTCCACCTCCCAAAATCTGGACATATCTGAAAAGTCCTGCCCCTTGTTTAGGTCCTCAGAAACATTCAGGAATTTGGTCTTATGTGCTCATATTTTTACCAACATATTTTCTGAGCACCCCTCTGAGGAATGTGGTTTTTATTTCACCTTGAGATGACATCCTAGGTTCCATTTTAGGATGGCTACCATTTCTGGATTAGGATAGTCTAATCCACACTGCACTGTGAGAAACAGTCACCACCAAAGTCACTGAAATGCAATAACAATGAGTAAGCATTAAAAAGCAGCAGAATGTACAACACAGAATAGTCCATGCTCTATGGTGGGCACTTACTTCATGGCACTTCAGCATGGCCCTCCTCTGACAACAGCAGTCATGCCAGCAAATAAAAATGACAAAATGGAATGACTGAAACACTGCAGAAATCACTGACAAAGCAAGCAGTCCTGTGAAATCGGCTGGCAAACAGTTAACGACATGAAATGAGTCTAATGGGAGAGCAGCAAGTAAAAAATCAAGGCATTTACTTTATCCTCTGTCAAACCCAGACATCCTTTATGATAAACCAATTGTAGGATCAGTCTCTATAAAGGATTCACTACTAAATTCTGTTCTGACTTACCTGTTTGTGGAAAAATAAAAGGAACTTTTTCAGAACCTCTGGAAAAAACTAATTCATTGATGGCCAAAACCACTGGCTAGTTTCACTTTTAAAACTTGTTATGCCAGCACAGTGCAGGTTATTCTTCCTAGAGGACTCAATTCCACAGCATCCTCCATAACTCCCACATTTATCATGAGTATTTCCCACCACCAGCAGTGATGCCAATGTGCCCCAGAGGCCACAGGATTGTGCAAACACAGCTGGACAAACAAAAACTGAAATGGTTCTCCCCTCTGGCAAAGCTATGGATCATTTTGGTGTAGTGCTGGTGGAAAGCAGCAGGAGCTGCTGTTCATTATTCCTTATCAGTGCTCCAGAGGCATGGAGGGAGGGAAGGAGGATGCTGAGCTGTCTGTCCCTGGCAGCCGCTGGATTTATCTCACCTCAGCCACACTGCCTTTAGCCCCTGGATCTCAGGGGCTGGCGCCTGATGGTTGTGTTGCTACGCAACTGCCGGGTCACAGACAGAACAAACGCTCCTCCTCTCTCCCAGGGAAAGCCCTGCTCTGCTCTTCTCCCAGTTCTTTCATCAGCTCCTTATAAAAGCCAGGACCCTCTCTAGTGGATTTATATCACTGCTGTATTTATGGCATTGTGGTTGATACATCCCATCCTCCTTGCCCACAGGAGGACATGGATAAACCAGATTAAAACTTCTGTCACCACAACTGATGGCCATAATTCCTCCAAGTAAATGAAGGCCAAAACTGGGAGTGGGATCTGAAGCTCTCTTCCTGAGCCTTCAGATCAAACCCTTTAATTACACTTTAATTAGTACAAGGTAAGCAAGCACGTCCTCTCACTTCTTCCTCCTTTCCCTTCTCCTGCTGGGCTCTTTTTTCCTATCCCACAGGCTGGTCACTGCCACTGAGGAGCAGATGGTGTCCAGCCAAGCATTTCTACTCTCTATTTAAAAATCTTGAAGCTCAGTGTTTCCATAAGAACCGCAGGAAAACTATAAATACACTATGGAAAACTATTGCTAAACCAAGATGAAGAGAATAAAAGCAAGTTTAGGGTGGTTTTAATGTAATAATTGAGAAATGCTGTTCAGGACCATATAATGATCTCTTCCTAATCCTCATTTATCAAAAACACACAAAGTTGTTTTTATGGATTACTGCAGCCATTACCCAACTATCTGTAGTTTCATTCACCCCTATGCCACCCTAACAGGGCAATTGCCTTGAGTGAACTCCAGTTTTGCATCTACTGGCTGTGCAAGGAGAATTCCTGGGGAGATTTAGGATTCCAATCTGGTCTGTAATTTCATGTATGGCCCCATAAGAAGATACATATTTTTAATTTCATCAGGCTGCCTGTGCTGCAAACACCGCCCAAGCGAGCCTGTGAACGCTGTTCCTATTTATAACACTTCCCAATTCCTCTCCTTGGCTGAAGGATAGGAACAGACTCATTTATTATCACTGCTCTGTTCACAGAGCTAACGAGTTGTTCTTTAATTCAGCAGAATCCCTGCTTTTTGTGAGCCAGAATTCCTTGGTCCCTTTCTAATGCTACCTTACAGGGAAGGGCTGCAAGCTCAACAATTGGTTGTCATAAGGTTTAGAGTATTAGGGGGGAAAAATACCAAGGAACTCCAGGAATTTTACCTTTGAAATTTAAACATCATCTTTTACACTTGAAATTTTCACAAGATGGTATTCCTCGGTCATAATATTTGACAGCTTTGTAAAAAAAATTGTGCCAGCCGTGCAGTTGGGCTAGAAAGGCTGTAATTTGTTTAAATTTTAGAGAGATAAAGCACCAGTAAAAGCAGTGAAAAAAACCCACAGAGCTTCTGATTCCACAAGTGAATGTGTCCATTTCCATCCCTGTGCCTTACCCTCGTTGAGATGAAAAGACGCTGCCTGCAGCACCTTTTCAAACACGCTTCCAGCGTCTGTGGATTGCCGGCTCTCTTCTGCTGTCTCCTGGATTATCATTTGCTTAAAAAAGAAATCCTTAGCAACCTTTCCTGGTCGTTTCAGCAGCTTCAATCCAGACCATAATTAAGCAGTAATCACATTCGTTTGGAAAACGGAAGGAAACAAAACCCAGCCCTCTTGTCTCCTGCTCCCACCGGGAATGCTGCGGAGCTGTCATTTTCTCCCGCAGTCAAATGACAGCCAAGAGTTTTGCTGCTCTTTGCCACTGCCAAATGATCTCATTTATTCCCTCTCAGCTCTTTGGCACCAGGACACCCCAGGATCCTCTCTCCAGTTTACAAAGAACAGTGTGTTTACTTTTCAGGGAAGAAGCAGGATTACAGTCCCATTGAAACAATGCTTTGGGTGAGGCTTCCCCCCCCACCACCCAACTGAGCCTCTGTATTCCATAATGAAGACTTAGTAACTTGCCAAAGCTGAGTCAGAGAAATTAAAAAACTTCAAGGACAGAAAAAAAAGCAACATAAATTTGTAACTTGTAATTTGAAACTAATTTGTAACTTGACTAATTTGTAAGTCAGCTCTTCCTCTAAAAAGTAACATATGGGACTACCTCTGCTTACATAACAGTTTGCATTTTTACAGTGAAGTGCTATAGTTTTTCAAGTTTGCCCCATCCTTTATACCTTTAAACATGTATTTTCACAAAAAAAGTATTTCTATTTACTTCTGTTCTTTATTTTGCTCTGAGTAATGACAGTACTTGGACATACTCACAGTGCATTGTAGCTGGTAGCCTCAGTTATATTTTAATAAAATAGGGAAATAAAATAAGGATGCTAAAGATCCTCAATGTAACCTGGAAATACCTCTCAGTTTAAAAATAAAACCTAATAACATTATACACTACAGACAACATGTTCATGGGGCTTAACAAGAAACATGATCAACATCTAGCAAAAATAATGTGGGGTTTTTCATGTATGAAGGCTTTTCCTGCAGTGTCAACTCAATTTCTGCTCTGTTTACTCAAGTGCCTGTCAAGTCAATTCCTCACTAAGAGGAATTCCAGAATTTCCATGTTTTATTCCCATTTCTCAATTCTAAAAATTGAATTCCATCACCATCATCAGTTTGATGACTTCCATCCTGCAGGAAATAATATCTAACTGTGTGATGCTGTGGCTGTGGGTCAGTTTTCTGAATGAGAAATCTTGGCCATCAGCAGAGACACCCTTCCCTTAAAAACAAATTATCTTCATGCTTGCAAAGTACAGCAGCTTTCCAAAGGCTGAGCTATTTATTAACCACCAGAATAATTCTAATAAAATTGACTTGGCATCTTTTTCATTTTTTTTTTAAAAAAAGCCAGCATGGTGCTTTTGCAAAAATAAATACCTCAGTCTCCTAATGAAACTTACAAAATTACCTTCCTTTTTTTAATAACTGTGGATTTCATGCTATTATGTCCACATTCCATACAGATGTGGTTTAGTAATAACATGGACGGTGCAAAGTGATTTTAACAAGCAATTCTCTGAAATATTTTATCATTTATGTAGATTAGGAGAGGTCTCAGAATGAATCAAATGACACCACATAGTGAATGCAAAACAACCCTTGGCAAAAACACATTTTATCCATTTGAAGCCAAAATATCTCATGGGACTGAAGAAAAATTAAATTAGGACCCCATTTTAAAAGGAAAGAAACTAAAGAGAAAAAAATTAAGATAAATCTAAGAAATTCACATCAAAACAACTCAAAGGTTTGTGCAAACCTTGAAGTTGAAGGCTGAGAAAGCTCCTGTCTTATCATGTAGGCAACACAAATGTTCACAGTGTAAGAAATTTTTGTTTGACACAGCCTATTCGTTAACAAATACAGAGTACACTCTCCTTTAATCTATGTGATTTACAGGAGATGTTAGCAAAGGTATGGCAAAAAAAAAAAAAGAAAAAAAGATCAAACCTTTTTAGAAAATGATTTGGTTAATTACTTTTACCTTGTACTGAGACTCGCAGTTTTTGTTCCAGTCGGTGACTCCAATCCCTCCCCTGGCTTTGAGGATTTCTCTCTGTTCATTTGCTGGAGTATTGAGTTCAATTCACTAATGACATTAGCCTTGGGGCCTGAGAGAATCGGGCTTTTCACCTCCGGCACATCCCCCCATAGCTTGGATGTCCTTTGGGGGACAACTTTTGCCAGGTTGGGCTGGACACTGATGGGAGGTGGGGGCGGAGCCGGAGGAGGGATCACGAAGCTGTCTACAGTTTCCTCAATCAGCGCATCCTTGTAAAGTGCATTGCTTTTGTTGATTATGGGCTTCATTTTTGGCTTAGGAGGTACTGGGGGTTTGTCCACCAGAAATGTTTGCCCATCTGCATAGACTGTACAAGTATCCACGTTCTCCCCCCCTTCTGAGGATAAGGTAGAGATGCTGGACACCGTTGAGATAGTGCTGGTTGTCTCTAGGTGATGGTCACTGCTGCTCCGACTGTCGACCTCCTCGATCCCAGAGTCGGTGACGTTGTCGAAGCTGTCAGGGGGTGGCAGGAAGGAGGCAGGCAAACAGTTTGAGAGACCCGCTTGCTTTTTGTTGTCCAAGGAGTTTGCTGGCTGGCTGGGCGAAGGGGAGCCGTTCTTCCTCTGTGCCATCAGGTCTGTCAGCGCCGAGCCGGGCACCGTGCGGTCATCGGGGATGTCGAAGCTGTTGGCAAACTCCAAGGGAGGGGGCAGCGGCTCGGTGAACAGGAACTCCTCGTCAATGTCCACTGAGGCCAGGGGCGGCGGGGGGATACGGAAAGGCAGGATGACGGGGTCGTCCACAGAGCTGGCGGCCACAATGGTTTTGCAGGGAGAAGCTGGGGGCTCAGGTGCAGCAGGGACACTCAGCTCGCTCTCTGCTTCCTCGCTGCCCTCTGGCCTCTCCGGTGGGGAGGTCTCAGGGCTTGGCTCCATCTCAGCTTCCTTTTCCTCCTCATCCTCAGGCATATCATCTGACTTTGCCATATCCACTGTGTGCACCATCAACAAACCAGCTGATTTTTGCTGCGAGGTATCCACAATGTTTATCAACATATTCTTCTTCTCCTCAGCTTTCTTTTCTTTCCCTGTGTCCATTTCGTACTTGTTCTCAGTCTCCTGCCGTCTCAACAGGCCACGGGTATTTTGCCTGGTGACAGTGGCAGTAACAGGAAAAGTTGTTTCCATGTTGGGTCTCAGCTTGGTGTCAATGTAAAGCGGTTTGTTAAGGTCGGTTTTGACAGCGTCCCCTTTGCCTGGAATCTGCTGTGTCTGCTCTTTCATGGCTCTGTCCCTGGCAGAGAGTGCGAGGGCAAGTGGCGAGTTTGGATCCAACAGTTTCCCTGTGACTGGGTGGACGTAGCTATCTGAGCCAGGAGCACTCGTGGGTTTGACTGCTGCTGTACTGTTGTCAGTACCTTTCGTTTTGGACAGAGCATTCAATGTCCTTGAGTCGCTCTGGTTGCTGGGCTCGTTGCTGTTAAAAAGGTTTTCAGGCTCTCTGGGGGCGGGGATTGGAGATGGCGACATGAGCTGTCTGAAACCATCCTCACTGCTGAACATTGCCTCCTCGGTGAACTTGGACTGCCTCAACCGTGGTGTTGGTGGGGTTAATCCAACGTCCTCGTCTCCCAGATCTGTGGAGAGGAATGCTGGGGAATTGCGCCTCGCTTCCAGCCTCTTTTCCCTGTCCCTCACGGCCCCTGCGATGGCTGCTGCGAACGGACTGCTGACTCCCAAGCTGTCATCGGGCCGGAGCTGTCCGGGCTGCTCTGAAGACTGAGGATCAATTTCCATGCTGCTCCCTTGGCTGCTTTTCCCGCTGCTGCTGGTGGATGGCTCTTTGACGATGATGGTTGGGATTGGAATTGAGCAGGTCTTTTCTGGACTGTCCTCCACGTTGGATTGTTTCACCAGCATCCCCTTCCGCCTGGCTGGCTTGGCTGGCACGTAAACTGCTTTGCTGGCGATCTTCCCGACCTCGGAATAGGGGTTTTCTGGCATCTGGCCCCTCTTGCTCCTGAAATTCGCCTGAGCTGCAGCACTCCGGTTGTATAGGTCTTCTGAGTCCAGGGAGTATCGGTCCAGCTCCCGCCGGTAATAGATCCCTTTGTCCCTTATCATTGTCCCCACACTCTCGGGCCTAACCAAAGAGATTTTTGCACCTGAATTCTGGTTAAATGGAGGTTTGATCGTTCCATAGCTCCGGGATGTCAGGGATTTGGGGGAGTTGTACAGAGAGGGAGAAGGTGGCGGTGGTGAGGGGGGTAAGGACTGTGGTGGTGGTGGGATATCTTCAGAGGTGTCAGGCATTGAAAGACTCCTGGTAAACTTCAGCATAGGAGGGGCCAGAAACTGCCGCTCTTCCTCTGTTATTCCTGAAAAATCAGAGAGTGCATTTAAACACTGCCACATCCACTGGGATCCCTCACACTGTACTACTTCTCCATCCAACCCAAAATTCCATGGCACATTCCCTGTGGCATGAGGAGTATGCAAAATTCCAAAAGAAGCCTTTAGGTTGATTCCCACCATAATCATTCTTTCCTGTTGGACATCCCAGGTGCCAGGATTGAAAAAGATGCTATGGAATTTTAATTAAGTTGATGTGTAGGCAAATGTTTTGGGTTTATGTATCATCAAGGTGGCTGTAGAAAAGCACATTTTCTTTGAAAATATTGAACAGGGAACACATTCTGTGCAGAGGAGCCGCTTCTGCCTTGCTCCAGCACTCTACAAATGCAGATAATAAAACAACTCAGAAACATAATGAATTTTTAAGATGCAACTGAAATTTAGCAAAGGGGCTGTGAAGATCCTATTGGGGAAAAAAAATCTATAATGTTGCATTTCCAAAGATGACATAATATCATTATAAATATGACTTTTAACATAAATAAATTAGGTAATACTGGGATAGTTTGGATGCTAATTTTATGTCCGCATAATGTACTTCTAAATTGATAAAAGTCACTGCTAACATTACTAACAAGAACAAAGAAAGCCCAAATTTAGTCTGCTCTTCGTTTCTTTGTTGTAAAAATACTTATTGCCATCATTTGAAATGAAAAAAAAAGGTGATTTTTAGTCCATTTGATCAACAGGATTTCTCTGTAAACTACACAGTATTACAATGCTTTCACCTCAATAACAAGGAAAGAAAGGATAATATTTTGCCCTAATGTTTTGAAAAAGACTTGTACTGACCTTTTCTTTTTTTTGTCCTTGTTAGAGGGAACATTCTGAAGAAAATAACTAAATTATAATTCCATACTTGCCAAGCAGAATGTGGAAATTACATCACCTTATATACAAACTCCTTGTCTAATGAGCTTTTTATAAAGATCAAACAGACACTCACTGGGGTAAAGATGTCAGAGAACATCTTCTTTAGGAAAGAAGAAAAGTTACTAAAAGTATGCTATTAAAGAACAAAACCATACAAGAAAGGCATTTTACCTATAGATTTTTGTCTTCTCATTGTACCCCGAGGTATACCCAGAAAAGGACCTTGAGGGCTCCCTGGGACAGTGGGCGTCATCACAGCAATACCCTGTCTCTCATACATGGACTACAAAAGAGCAAACAGAAACCCCAACAGCATTAAAGCATGAAAGTCTCTCCCATGTGGAGATAATGCCTCATCCATTACCCCTTTCACTAAGAATTTTTATGGAAAATAATAAATCTGGGGTTGTTTCTGGGGAGGAGGGCGAGAGAAAGGGAAGGCTGGCATTTGTTTAGACACTCATGAAAGAACAACAGCTATAAGTGGAGTTTGTTGATATTATTTATAAGGCAATACCTTAAGATGGGTAATGGAAAAGTACATCCAAAATTAAATTAAACCAGTAATTTTTTATCTGCAAAGTTTTGCATGATTAAATTCTGTACTTCAATTATGCAATTTCAGAGTCCTGGCATTTAATTTTTAATATGTGCTATAGTATTAATGTCCCTTACAAAGCATTGGGCATTATTTAATCAAGGAATTAAATACATTAGTAGGAATAAAGCAGTGCTTCATGGCTGCCACTCACATTCATATCTGTAGCTGAGGGAAAACATCTACTAGAAGGCCGCTGTTTTATAGTTGCCACTCTGGAGTCCACAGTTGCATTGTCTGAAATTCTTGATGGCTTGGAAACTGGCACTATTTCATCCACCTTATCTGTAATATAAAAGCATTCAGTAAAATAAATATCACTTGTCCAAAGAAACGGAAAAGTTAAGTATTGCAAGGTCAAAGGAAGAGATTTACTTTTCAAAAAAATGCAAAGAAAAAGTTTTTTTGGCATTTTAACAAGGCAACGCTTGAGCATCATAAGTCGTGCAAGCCGAGCACTTTTTATTGCTGCTACATAACATGCATGCTTTAGTTTTAAGCCTGCATGCATTTAATGTTTACTTAGTGTGACTCGAAAAACAATCCTCTTCTTCAAACCTTCAAAATGTGAAGGGAGAATATCTATATAGAAATGGAAAGAAGACCTTTAGAAATAGTGAATCTGTACAGCACTGTTTCAAATAGAGATAAGCAGACTGTACTTAGTCATCAGAATTTCAGTGATATTTTGGACAATAACAAGTACTCCAGAAGTGCTCTTTTATGCCTAATCTCCTTAAGCAATCATATCCTAATTTGTTCACACTCTTGGACCTGTAGGCTATCACTACTAACTGCATCCTTTGTTTAAATGAAACTTTTATATGCAGGTGGGGTTTTTTGTTTGTTTTTGGTTTTGTTTTTTTGTTTTTGTTTTTGTTTTTAATTTCTTTTACTGGAATGTTTGGGAATTTATTTAGTAGTGGTCAGAAGCAGACCAAAAGTAGTCAAAGTCCAAATCTGAATGACAACAACATTTGGATTTGTGACTCTGACCTACTGCACAATGTGATGGTAAAATACAGGGAAAAGCTTAATCAGGGTATTCCAAAGCTGAGTGCTGGTGTTAGCCCTGTCTTCAACTCTGGTCACAAACAAGGTTCATCAGCATTTAATACAAATTGTTATCACACTGAAGACCTCAAAGTACAGTATAAACAACTAATTATTGCCTGAAAGCTCCTTTTTTTTGCCCTTCCTACTGCTACAAAACCAAGGCACAGAGAATCACTAGCCCAAGCCACCAGGAGAGCTTGAGTTTGGAATCTCTACTAGAATCCAAACTGGAATCACACCAACAGCTTTCCTTACTACACCTTCAATTGCATTTGCCTGCCTGTATCATGTTAATTTAGTGTCTTTTCCTTTGAAGTTTCACCAAAACTAGGATTAGTTGCATAGCTTGTGGCGTTTCTGTGAGTGGAACACCTTAGCCTGACTCCTAGGCTTCCACAACACAAGTCAGAGTAATGCTACTTTTCAGCAATTAGGTCCATCTCCCAAATAATTATTTGTCAAACAAGGATATTTACTTCATTAGGATACTACAGACTTAAAAAAACCCCAGGTTTTTAAGGTGATCTAGAGCTGGTGTTACTATCCCAAGTATTGTATTTAGGGATTTAAATTTTACCTCTCGCTGGAGAGCAGCGCACTCAGAGCCCTGGATATTGATATGGATGGGAATAAGGCAGGAGGAAAAGAGCTTTTGGTCCCTCTAAACAGTAGATCTGGCTGATGCAAAGATGGTATTTTAAACAGGAGAAGAAGAGAGGGAAGAACTTTAAGCCTTTGGGTTAAGAAGCAGGTTGTCCTAGAAGTGGATATTTCAATGTCACAGAGGGTCAGGGAGCAGTCAGGAAAGGAAAGGCTGAGCAGGATCAGTAAACTGAACACTGCTGAAAACTGTCTCACAAGAGTAGTGTTGCTGTTTCTTTTCAATGGAAGTTAGCATTCAAGTCTTTTCATTGGTCTGCTTTATTTTTTTTATTTTTTTTGTGGGGTTTAAATCATCCAGTGGAAGGAGAAAAGGAAAAAAATTCTTAAAATCATCACATGTATTCAAAAATAAAAACCAACTTCACATCACATTTCATAAGGCTTTGTAATACAAACTTCTGAAGGAAAAGTATCTGCACTTCTGCTCAGCAAAAGGCATCAGAAAGCAACAGTGTAACCATGAGCATTTACCCTACACAGCAAAAATATGGCTGGACTGCAGAATGGTACTCAGGGGATCTATCACCAAGAGCTTCAACTGGGCAGAGATTTCCTCTTAAGGCTCTCCCACCCTTGCTCTCATCCCAGAGAACAACTAATCTTTGGGATACAGAAAGAAGGAAGTCTTGGAAACTGAAGCACTCAAAATCTGCACATGAGAAATAGAAATATACCATGTAAGAAGTGATCCCCTTCATATTGAACAGACACATGTAACCAAATACCCATTCAGACAACAAAAAGCTACAGGGAAAAAGAAAGAGTGATGAGGCCATGACAGACACTTGGAAAAGCATGAAAATATTTGTTGGAGATGAAACATACATACCCTCCAACTGCACTGATTTTGCTAGACAATCTTAGAAGTCAGATTCTACTTTTGGATCTGACCAAAATACCAGTTGGTACTGATTCTTAAAACCATCTACTATTTCCATGTGGGGGAAAAAACCCCTGGTTTTGTGTGAGTTTATTGCAAGTTTCCTGTCTGTAGAGAGGTTTTCAGTCCTTCTCACCCTATGGCTGCTCCCATTTGCCACATTTAGCCAAAACACTTGGAAATGGGAGAGGAGGGCAGGTTAAAGCTTGAGCTGCTTTGCAAGGAACTCTTTAGGGCTTTCTCACACGGCACCTCCAATGGCAGCACTGCACAGGTCCTACTCTTGCTCTACTGCTCTTGGATCAGAAAGCAAAGGGAGTGGAGGTTGTTATTTTGGAGATATTATAACAAAAAATGTGAAGCAGCCAGCACGTGGAGACTGATACTAAATGGCGGCAGCTACATGGCGGGTCCTGCAGGAAACATCAAAATCTGAACACCTGGCCACATCTGCCCCACCCTGCTAGAGTGAAAAGCACAACGTGAAACAAAAACATCCTCACTGTGTTATCAAATGTGCTCCTAAGGCCAAGGAAATGGACTGGCTGAACTGCAGTTAGCCTCACTCAGACTCATCCCAGAGAAAGAAGACGTGTTGGGCTGAACCTTCACTTGCCTGTGCCTCAAGATGTTTGTCTCCACAGCACAGAGTGCAAAACCCTCCTGCACCCGAACCACACATTCCAAATATACTCCTACTGGAATAATTTGTCAGGCTTACTAATTAGCTCACTCCCAACCTCCTTGTGACCTCAAATACTCTGCAACACGCACTCCTCGTACCAAGGAGAGGGGAAGCTCACAAGCTCGTGTTGGAAATAATCTGAGGATAACTTTACAAATAACCCTGACAAAAGAAAGAGAAAAAAGCCACAAAAGGGATGCAAAAATTGCCGCCTGCTGTGAGGTGTGTTGACAGAGTAGTCCTAAGAAGCCTGTCTCCAGCAGGATTTTTAAAAGGAATGCAGCTGAATGAAGGTCAAAAGGAAGGAATGTGGGAAAATCCTGTAATGGAGGTTGGCTGTGCCAGCTGCATTTCCTCCTTGAACCGGTTGTTTAGCAGAGTACAGCCACAAGCACACACGCACACACACTTTTACAGGAGCAGTTTGTGACTGGCTGGTAGAGTAACAAACTCTGATCTGCTTTGCTTTGAATAACCTCAGCCTTGCTGGAAGACAGGGAAGAAGAGTCTACCACTCACTGGCCAGAGAGCATGGCTCAGTTGCAGTCACAGAAGAGGATTTTTAGACCTACGATTATTCCCTGGCATTTACCATAGAAACTGCTCTGCACTTTCCCAAGAAGTCACAACGGCGTGTTGAGAGTCAAACACAGGAGCCATGCTACACCTGTGAGAACCTGTCCCCACTGCTCCAGGGGCTCCTGGGAGCAGCATCCTTCCGGAGAACTGTCAGGGATACCACATGTAAAAGCCAGTCTGATGCCTCTGCATGCATATAGCAATTTGAGTGCCACTATATTAAATTCCCCCGAGAGAGGCAGCACCAACAGATACAAAGTAATTTATTGCCAAAGTGCGTTTCCATCTACCCTGTTGGGTTACTAATGGGACCCGTGCCCTACTCAGGGTGCCAGCCCTCAGGAAATTGGATGGCCTAAAGGCACAGAAAGTGGTTGTGTTTTATCAAGATGTAGGTCTGGTCTCTGATAAAAAGCTCTTAATCACAAAGTAGCACAGTACCCAACAGCATGTCATGACTTTTACATTCTCAAGAGGTCTGGCTGCTAGGCAAGTTGCTTTTTTTATTTTTTTCTTTTATAATTATTATCTGTGATAATTACAGGGGACGGTCTCCTCCTAATAGATTTGTTGCAGGAGATGGCTCTTATCCCCGTAGAACACATTGCTTAGTGACTCCTGTTCCAAATCTCCAGACTCTCTCAGAGGAAAAAGTATAATGCTGCCCATCAAGCCACCAGATCCATCATCAAATGAACTTTGGAAACGAGAGTCAGGTGCCCAGATAGATCTGGTGGCACATCACTACACAGCCCCCAAAAAGAGAAATATGAGGTATGATCCTGGCAACATTACTTATTGTACGACATAGCCAAGACATGTGGATTAGCTCCACCGAGGGTCTTAGGAAGTGAGCTGGTGAGACCCACAGAGGATAAGAATGGTCATGATCCAGTACAGGCTATACCCCAACACCTCAGGCTGGCATGCCAGAAACACCAGGCAAAGACTGATCGAACACAGTTGGGAGGCGAGTATTGCCAAGACCTCTATACTTACCACCAAGTCCCGAGTGCTTGCTCAGAGGGGGTGGGATAATGGAGAAAGAAAACTCAAAAAACAGCTGCCTCAAGAAATGACTTGTATTTGTAAGAAAAGCAATGAATGCCTGGCACAGAGTAAAAAAATGCTCGTATGAAGTTAAAGTGAAAGAACAGAGGCAAATGTTCTTCAAATACCAGCAGCACACATCGTTAACAGTGCAAATATAAACTACAAAATGTTAGACTAATCTAGTCAGCCAGAATACAATGTTAGCCAATGTAGGAAATGGTTGAACTCTGCCACCGATGGCCTTATGGCTAAGAATTAAAAGGACAGGCACATTAAAAAAAACTCTAAAAATCCTATGGAGTGGTTATTTTTTCTTCCCTCCCCCTTTTGCCTGGCGTGGAGGCATGGGCAGCGAGGCCCTCTCGGTTATGGCTCTCTGCAGCCGGCCACTGCGACAAGGCAGGGTGGCCTGCGGCGGGTCGCGAGAGTCGCTCGTCCCTTCAGCCCCTGGTAAGCACACAGTGGAGGATGCCACTGCGTCCTCACCAGTCCATGTCGAGGCACATGTCAACTCGACATGGGGGGTGGCTCTTTGGGAAATGCGTGTTTCGAGGACCTGCGTCCTTGGCTGCTTGAGGAAAGCTAAAATCTCTGACAGGTAGTTATGGATGGCTCTTGTGGAGGTAGCCACAATGCCCAGCTGCAGCTCCATACGGCCCATGGACT